AGAGAAATATGAGAGAGAGAGAAACATGAAAGGGACATATTGAATGGCTGCCACCCACATAACCCAACCAGGGCTGGGGACAAACTGCAACCGAGATATGCGCCCCTAGCAGGAACCGAACCCCAGGTCTCTCTGGACCACAGGCCGATGCTCTAACCGCTGAGCCAAACCGGCCAGGGCTCCCAGCTGTTTTGTTATTATTATTTTTTTTAATCCTCACCCGAGGACATTTTTCCACTTTTTTGTTTAGATAGAGTGGGAGGGAGAAAGAGGAAGAGAGAGAGAGAAACATCGACGTGAAAGGGACACATCAAGTGGCTGCCACCCGCACGACCAGCCAGGGCCGGGGACAAACTGCAACCGAGGTACATGCCCTTAGCGGGAACCGAACCCGGGTCTCTCTGGACCGCAGGCCGATGCTCTAACCGCTGAGCCAAACTGGCCAGGGCTCCCAGCTGGTTTTTTACAGGCAGAAGTTATGGGGACTTCTCTTTCTAGCACTGAAATCCTGGGTGGGAGTAGGGATGCTGGTGCGGGGCTGGGACCCCTCACTTCTCAGGGGGACCTTCGAAGCTGAGATATCCCTCCTGATTTTTAACCACCACAATGGGTGTGGGACCAGCCTGTTCTGCTTCTTTACCCCTCCTACCTGTCTTGGTGTGGCTTCTTCTTTATATCTTTAATTATAGGACTTCTGTTCAGCTGAATTTCAGGCAGTTCTGAATAATAGTTGTTCTTTAGTTTAGTGCTTATTTTGATATGGTTGTGGGAGAATGTGATTACAGCATTTACCTAGTCTGCCATCTTGAGCAGAAGCTCCTTTGCCTGTTTTTTTGTGTTTTTTTTTAAATCCTCACCCGAGGACATTTTTCCATTTTTTGTTCAGGTAGAGTGGGAGGGAGAGAGAGGACCAGAGAGAGGGAGAGAGAGAGAAACATCAATGTGAAAGGAACACATCGAGTGGCTGCCACCCGCACGACTGACCAGAGCCAGGGACAAACTGCAACCAAGGTACGCGCCCTTAGCGGGAACCGAACCCGGGTCTCTCTAGACCGCAGGCCGACGCTTTAACCGCCAAGCCAAACCGGCCAGGGCTCCTTTGCCTGTTTTTAATTGGGTTGTTTATTTTGTTATTATGTTGTAAGAGTTCTTTATCTTGGATATTAACCTCTTATTTGAATAAGTACTAAAAATAAACTTAGTTAAGAAAGTGAAAGGCTTGTACACTAATATACCCTTGACAAATAGTTCCCCCATTCTGTGGACTGTCTTTTCATTCTCTTGAGAGTATCCTTTGATGTACAAAGTTTTTACTTTGATAAGGAACATTTGATAAATTTTGTTTGTTTCATATCCTTTTGGTATTATATTTAATAAATCATTGCCAAATTCAAAGTCATGAAGATTTGCCCCTATGTTATCTTCTAAGAGTTTTTTCATTTCAGCTCTTATATCTCAGTTTTGGATCCATTTGAGATAGTTTTTGTATATAGTATAAGGCAAGAGCATGTGGACACCCAGGTTTACCAGCATCGTCAGTGGAAAACACCATCTTTCCCACTGAGTGGTTTTGGCATTCTTGTCTAAGATCCATTGAAAACATATGTGAAGGTTTCTTTCTGGGCTCTCTATTCTATTCCAATCATCTGAATGGCTGTTTTTATGCCGGTACCATGCTGTTTTGATTACTGTGGCTTTGTAGTAAATTTTGGTATCAGGAGTATAAATCCTTGAACTTTCTTCTCCTTTGAAAAGATTGCTTTGTATATTTAGGACCCCTTTAGATTTTATATGAATTTTAGGATGGGTTTTTCTATTTCTGCAAGAAACACCACTGAAATTCTGATAGGGATTGCATTGAAACTGTAGGTAACTTCAGGTAGTATTGCTATCTTAATAATATTAAGTTTCCAATCAATAAGAATGGGAGCCCTTTCCATTTATTTGTCTTCTTTCATTTTTATAGGCATTGATTTTTAGTTTTCAGTGCACAAGTCTTTCACTTTCTTAACTAAATTTATTTTTAGTACTTATTCTTTTTGATGCTTCTGTCAATAGAATGGTTTTCTTAATCTCCTTTGTTCATATATAATATAACTGCCTTCATTTTGTTCTTTGTCAATTTTTTCTCTTAGCTTTTTGGCCACATTGAACATTTTTCTCAGCATTGGGAACCATTTTATTATTATTTTTTTCTTAACTTATACATACTTGGTATACAGTATTATAGCAGTTTCAGATATACAATATAGTGATTCAACACATATACCATACAATGTGACCACCACACTAAGTTTAGTAACACATTTATTTAAATGATGCATCTAGTAAGTCTGAAGTCTGGGTTTCCTCGGGGGATGGTTTCTGTCAATTTTTAAAATTTCTTTGAGCCATGTTTGCTGTTTTCTCTGTATGTTCTGCGATTTTTTCAGTCGAAAATTGGGCCTTTCACTATTATTATGTGATAAACCTGGAAATCAGATTCTCCCACTTCCCTAGGGGTTGAGATTGCTGGTGGGGTTGTTTTTCTTTTCTCTCACTTTCTTTTTTTTTTTTGTGGTACGTGCCCCTGGCAGGAAATGAACCTGGGACTCTGGTCCGCAGGCTGATGCTCAACCGCTGAGCCAAACCCAGGCCCTTCTCCTTCTCCTCCTCCTCCTCCTCCTCCTCCTCCTCCTCCTCCTCCTCCTCCTCCTCCTCCTCCCCCTCCCCCTCCCCTCCCCTCCCCCTCCCCTCCCTCCCCCTCCCCCTCCCCCTCCTCCTCCTCCTCCTCTACTACTGTTGAAGGCCATAATCACAGAAGTCCTTTGCTTTAAGAATTTTTTTGCAAAGACTCTCTGTCATGTGTGATCATTGAAGTTCTGATCCTTTAACTCGTGTTCAGCGAATGTCTTGACAGGGATTTCCTTGACTGCCAGGATCTCCAACGAACAAACAAAAATATCAACAACAAAAAACAAACAGAACCATGGTGTGGATGGGCTCTGTACAGGGCCTCCCTCACCACTCAGCTGGGCTTGCTCCGAGCCTCGGGTCAGCAGCCCGCTGTGAAAGCTTAAGGCGTTGTCAGGGCTTTTCTGAGCATGTATCTTGCCTACACCTGTGCATGGCTTTAATGCCCCTGTATACAGCTGTCTTGAATTTCCAAATTCCCTCACCCACGCCTCAAATCTCATCCCAGCTTCTCCTCCAGACCATGATGGTCCATTGTGTATCTCCACCCATAATCTCTTGCTTCGGGCTTCTTAATTTTGCAATCTGCCTGGTGGCTTCTATAAGCGATGCCTGCTGCTTTTCCCACCTGCATTTTGGCTTCTGTGAAATAAGTGTCTTGCTTTAGTCCTTCAGATGTCCCCAGGCAGGTTAGAACAGCAGCGCACATAATAAATAATTGCATGTGGGAAACAATTTCGATTGCCAAAAACAGAAGGCTGTTATAACCATACCTATAATACAAACAAAACAATGTTCTTAAGTTCTAGCTGAATCCTGTCCCCGCTAAAAACTCTGATCTTGAAACATAGCTTCCTTTTGGTAGTCCCAGAGCTTTTAAAAAAATTGGAAGGGAAGCTATTAAGGGATGTGATTCAGTGTCTTTTTTTTTTTTTTTTTAATGTTTTTTCTGGAACCTCTTAAAATCATTTCATGTTCCACAAGAGAAAGAATCCCAACACATTGCTTAGTGGTTCAAATACCAACCCTCCCACTGAGTGGCTGAGTGACTTGGAGCAAGTTACTGTGACTCTCTGAGCATTAGTTTTCTCCTCTGTTAAATGGGTTATAAAAATGTCAGTCGCGCCCTGGCCGGTTTGGCTCAGCGGTTAGAGCGTTGGCCCGCGGATCAGAGAGACCCGGGTTCAGTTCCCAGTTAGGGCATGTCCCGCGGTTGCAGTTTGTCCCCAGCCCTGGCTGGGTCGTGTGGGAGGCAGCCACTCGATGTGTCCTTTTCACATCGATGTTTCTCTCTCTCTCTCTCTTCTTCCCACTCTGAACAACAACAACAACAACAAAAATGGAAAAATGTCCTCAAGTGAGGATTTAAAAAAATAAAAATAAAAATGTCAGTCGCACACAAAACCTGTGCATAGCAGCTTTATTCATGATAGCTGAAAACCAGAAACAACCCAGATGCCCTTCAGTGGGTGAACAGTTAAATAAACTATGGTTCATCCTAATGTAAAATGCTGTTTAACAGTAAATAGGATCAACGTATTGATGAACACAACAGCCTGGGTGACTCTCTGGAGAATTACACCGAGTGAAAAAGAAAGCAGAGCTGGTCACAGAAGGTTACGTGCTGTATGATTCCACTTCAGTACCATTCTAAGTGTCAGAATTATAAAACTGGAGAGAGGATTAGTTACTGTGAAAGGATTAGGGATGTGAAGGGAAGAGGAGGGAGGCAGGTGCGGGTGTAAGAGAGCGACACGAGGGGTCCTGGAGATGACCGGCTGTGGGGGTGAACGCGCGAACCTACAACACGGTAGAATTGCATAGGACTAAATACATACACCCCAGCGAGTACAAGTAAAACACTGGCGAGAGCCGAGGGAGGCAAAAGGCTTGTAGCAATATCAATACCCTGGTTGTGATATCGAGCTAGAGTTTTGCAAGATGTGACCATTGGGGGAAATAGGATAAAGGGTACATGGAATCTGTTATTTTTTATAACAGCATGCAAATCTACAATTATCTTAAAAGTTTAATTTTAAAAATAGCAACCCCATAGACTTTCTTTGAGGACAAAATGAGACAGTACTTGGGGAAGCAAATTCATTCGGCAAATGTTTATTGACACCTCCATCTGTTCAGCTGCTGTGTCATATTAATATCAATTGTCAGTGTTTGCACATAAAGAAAATAGACTCAGAGAGATTATAAAAGTTGCCCAGGTGCCAGGTAGAGTGAGAATCAGGATTCGAACCCAGATCCGAACTCCAGGTTGCAGCTCAACATCTCTAAACTCACTGCCTTCAACAAGAGTGCCATTCTCTTTGCAGAATGACCCAGTGAAGACAGCCGAAGTGGAGTGTGGGGACTTTTACAACAGTGGGGACAATGCAACTATTGACGAAGAGGGCTACATCTGGTTCCTGGGGAGGGATGATGACATCATCAACGCTTCTGGGTAGGTGTGGCTGACCCGGAGCCAGGAGGCATCACCTACGTGGGTGGCAGGATCTAGCTTGCCTCACCATTCCTCCATGCATTGGTGATGGGACCCTCAGCCTATTCCTGAACAGAGCCGTGTCTACAGGGCCATGGCCCAGGTTACCTGTGCATCTCACTCAACATCAAAATAAAGTTCAAGAAGGTCTGGAGTGCAACCACAATAAGACACTGTGCAATTTAAAGAATAAGTGTAGGATTGGGAAGGAAGATCTTATTTTGGCCCCTATTTGTCCCCATTGGTTGGAGGAAATTATTCTCTGTGTTCCTTTAATGGGGCACATGTCACAAAAACAACAACAACAACAATAATAATAGCAATTAACTTTTATGGAGTACTTACTATGTGAAAGTACTCTCTTCAGTACTTTGCATAACGCAGTAGATGCCATTATTATGCCCATTTTACAGATGAGAACACTGAGCCACTGACCAGTGAAGTAAGTTGCTGAAAGTGTCCGAGATAGTGCAGGGTGAAGCCCAGATTTGAACCAAGGTAGTCTGGCTTCCAATCTGTTGTCCCCAACACTTAGGTTTTGAGGGAGAAAAAGTAACACAAATAACAACGTCTCTTAAATACATCAGGGGGATTTAGTTTGTTTTGCTTTATTATTTTATTTTTTATTGTTGAAGTATTGCAGAAGTCCCTCCTTTTCCCCTATTGACCTTCTTCTTCCGGCTCCACAGAGGTAAACCAAAGAACTTGTTTTGCTGTCTTTTTTCCTAAATTTTTTTTTCTTTATTGATTTTATAGAAAGAGGGAAGGAGAGGGAGAGAGATAGAAACATCGATGAGTGAGAACATCGATTGGCCACCTCCTGCATGCCCCCCACTGGGAATTGGGCCCACAACCTGGGCATGTGCCCTGACAAGGAATTGAGCTGGTGACCTCTTGGTGCACGAGTCTATGCTCAACCACTGAGCCATACTGGCTGCTTTCTTAACTTCCAAATGAAATGCTGATGTAGTGGGACTAGGAGGCAGAATTTCCCTAAACGTTTAAGGCAAAGGTTTGGGACTCCCGAGAGGATTACAAAAGTCTTCCTGCTGAGGGAGCTCCTTACATCAAGCCCCAGAGCCCCAGAGCCCTGGGACAGCTTTCCAACACCCCCCCCCCCAAACACACACACACACACACACACACACACACACACACAAGAGGCAGTGAGGGAGAAACCCTGGGAGCATCTGAGCTTGGTATTTCTTATACCTGGAATGCCCAGAGCTTCACATTTTGATCCCACTACAGAGCCTTTTCACAGTCCTCTGCCTCTCGTGACACTTGCCCTCTGTGCCAAAGAAAGTTGTGACATGCCGAGACATAAGATTGGAGGGCCTGGGTCACTCCAGCCCTGGCGTCTGCTCGGAACCAGAGCAGGAACCATTGGTCCCGCAGGTACCGCATTGGGCCGGTGGAGGTGGAGAACAGCCTGGCCGAGCATCCGGCAGTGGCTGAATCAGCTGTGGTGAGCAGCCCGGACCCGGTCCGAGGGCAGGTGAGAAGGGCAGAGAGGTCAGGCGTCTGCTTGTGGGCACTGGGAAGGCTGGGGCGGGGGAAATTTCCAGAACAGTTGGTGTGTGTGGCATACTTACACCATGTGGGCAGCAGGAGGCACTGTGGCATCATCTGTGACAAGATAATACTGACTAGGAAGGTTGATTTGATGACAGCTAATACTGGGTGAGCCCTTACTATGTGGGTGGTCATTTAACCCTCAAACAACCTAATGAGTTCAAGACTCTTATTATACCCTTTTAAACAGAGAGACAGGCATAAAGAAGTTAAATAACTTGCCAAAATGATACCATGGTGGAGCCAGGACAGAAATCTGAGCACTCTGGTTCTAATGCATTCATTGATTCAACAAGGGTTTATTGAGCACCTACTGTGTACAAGGTCCTGTGCAATTAAATAGGGACATAGATAACAATATAAAAACAATAACTTACCAACAATTACTAAATGCCCACAAGGTTCCAGGCACAGAACTATACATACATTAATAATAAAAATGATGATGATAATAATGATAGGGATAATAGGAAAGTTAAACTAGGTGTATGTTTTATATGCATTGTCTTGTGGAATCTGAACACAAGCCCACTGTGGGATGAACCTGCACTGTCCCCATGTCAGAGAAAAGGAATTTGTGGATAAGTCATTTTCCAAAGCAAAGAGTAGAAATTGGAAGTATTTAGATTTGAACCTGGTCTTGTCCTTTTCCAAAAGCTCAAATGTCAACTCAACTTGTTTTTCCATTCATTGCATGAACATTTACTTTTTAAACAGTACAATTAGTTGCCACTCACCCTGAGCCTCGGCTGTGGTTCTGCATTGCAGGTGGTGAAGGCTTTCATTGTCCTGACCCCGCAGTTTCTGTCCCATGACCCGGACCAGCTCACCAAGGAGCTACAGGAGCACGTGAAGTCAGTGACAGCCCCGTACAAGTACCCAAGGAAGGTGAGTGAGGGCTGATGCTCGGTGCCCTTCCCGTGCTCTGCCGCTCAAGTCTGGCAGGGTGGGCGGGTGACTCTTAAACCGCAAATAGAACTGGCATTTTTCCCTGCAGAAGAAGCAGTGGGCTTGGGGGTGGAGTGCAGCCAAGTGAATGAGATGGAACCTCTGTCCTGGGTCAGAACCCCCAAAACATGCTGGCAGGTTAACCTTAATCAGACAGGTGCCCACAGCTTTCCAAGAGGTTACTTAAAATCTTTCAAAATTTGAAAAAGACATCTAAGTCAGCAGCTTCCAAACTAATTTTGAATGTGATTCATACTAAGAAATATATTTGACACTGCAGCTCAATACTTATTTACCTACACAAGAAACAAATGTTAACACATTTATATTGATCCTTACAACATGCAGTCCATTCCAATGCTTTTTATTCTATTGCATTTGTTTTTTTATTTTTATTTTTTTGTTGTTAATCTTCACCTGAGGATATTTTTTCCATTTATGTTTTCTTAGAGAGAGTGGAAGAGAGGAAGGGAGGAGGAAGAGAGAGAGAGAGAGAGAGAGAGAGAGAGAGAGAGAGAGAGATAGCAATTGGTTGCCTCCCACATGTGCCCAACTGGAGCTGGGGATGGAACCTGCAACCCACGTAAATGCTCATGACTGGGAATCCAACTGGTGACCCTTTAGTGCGCCAGCTGATGCTCTAACCACTGAGCAGCACCAATTAGGGCTATTGCATTTGTTTTAAATGTTGCATGCAAACAACAAAAATGTCCAATAGAGAAATTATTAAATTATTTGTGAAATTTTCTGTAATTTTAAATTATGTAGTTTTTTAACATAAAAATATCACAATATATTATTAAGAGAAAAAAGCAGGCTATGAGAGAATTTACCTAATATTATTGTATTGGTTTAAAAGCAAAGTTTGGAAGGATACCTATGTCAACCAGTTAACATTTCCTACATTGTCTGAATGTCTATGGCCAGTGCATATTGTAAAGCTATGTAGCTAATAGTTACTGAATATTTACCACATGTGCCAGGCCCTGGATTCAATGCTTCACATGCATTATTATTTATTTAATCCTCTCTGCAACCCAAGATGGTCTAACCATGTATTTTACGGAGTGGAAATTGAGGCTCAGAGACTCAATGTAAATTGCCTGAGAATAGAGTGAATACAGGCAGAGCTGGAACTCAAACCATGTGCCTCTAACAGCAACAGAGTTCTTGCTTCTAATGTTAGGCTCTGCTGCCCCCTAGAGAGTGGAAGAGAGGATGCTTGTCAGTGAGGAGGGGCTGTATGTTGCGAGTAACAAACAGCCCCAAAGCCGTGTGGCTTATTCAAAGGAAGGCATCTTCCTTGCTCAAGCTCATGTCCACCCTGGTTCTCCTGGGACCCGAGTAAAGGAGCAGCCACCCTTCTGGTAGAGGTGATACTTCACTGCCACCATATTTCATTGGTCAAAGCATGTCACAGGGCTGCAGCCAATCAGGGGGTCAAGGAGGAGAGCCCGACATACTTGGGGGCCCTTAAGGCCACCACATGGTGCAGCCTGTTTGGGGGACTTGCAGGGGTGAAGGAGAGGAGTGGGGATTGGCAGGAAATGACAGCAGGACTAAGTCAGGATGGTTCCCTTTCTCCCCGACCAGGTGGAGTTTGTCCCCGAGCTGCCCAAAACCGTCACTGGCAAGATCAAAAGGAGTGAACTGCGGCAAAAGGAGTTTGGTCTGATGTAATTGCAGTAAACTCAGAACCCCCCTCTGATGTGACCTTGGGTAAATCCCTGGTGGGGGTAAGGATGGGGACGTTGAGAGGGTTGATTGGGAAGGGTACCAGACTGCCAGCATTTCTGTTCTTTTAAATTAACAAGAGTCACTACCCTGCCCCCAAGTCTCTGTTCCTTCGGCTTGCCCAGGTGAGTGCTCGAACTGGGGCTGAAGGTAGTAAAGTGCTGATGTCAACATCAACGGTGATCCTGTGCTGTGCATTCGTGATGTCCACGGCCCTTGCTAAACGCGACCCCTCCACAGTTCTCCCCAGTCCCCACTGGAGCGAACACAGGGCCTGATTCTCCTCCTCCACCTGTTCCCTGGTGGCCCTACATCCAGTAGATGACCAGGACCCAGAGGTCTGGGAGTGAAGCTTCGAGTAGCCCCAGGCACCTGCCTCTGCTAGGGCCGAGCCTAGCCCCACACGGGCAAGTGAGTGACCTGCTCTCAACGGACCAGGGGCCCCCCAGGACTCTCCCAGCCTTCTCCAGAGGCGCCCAATCCCTCATTCCTAGGACGGACCCAGGGGCCGAGGAGTGTTACCCTTCGGCTTTCCCCCATGTACACCCACCTACTCATTCCTTCCCCAAATCCAGGATCTTCCAGCCCCTCTCTGAGGGCCCAGAGCCCACCCCAAACACCCTCTCCACACTCTATATGTCCTTTCTGCCATCAGTGTCTTCCCCAACCACCCCTCACCCGAGACAGCCCCACAGGACACACACACACACAAAATGGGCACACACACGCACACAGCAGCACAGACACACGGACACAGAGCACGAACACAAAGAGGAACACAAACACACAGATACAATCAGGACACCCAAAGGGGCAGCAAATTCACACACACAACCAGCACACACAGATGCAGAACAAACACTCCTGCAAATGCTGAGTCATATGAATTCACTGTATTGAAGGCAACATTAAGAATTAAAGTGCTGGAGGACAAAAGAATATGCAATGGGAAGATGGCGGTGGGTAGGACCAGAGGGAGGGCGAGTGTGTGAGAGAGTGTGAGTGGACGACCAAACCCGAGCAGTGCAGAGCCCGGAGCAGAAGGTTGCTGTGCTGTGGTCAGAGCAGCCGGCTACCGCGATGAGCAGCCCTTCAGGGCGCTTCTCCCTGCACTGCGGGGAGGTCCCAGCATTTTGGAAGATCCCGGGTCTTCCCTGGGAGGAGGCAGTGGGAGCGGCTAGGGCCCAGCAACCTGAGCCACCAGCACACCTGGCACCATCGGACCAGTGGACACTCTGTGCCAACACAGACAGGTGCACAGTAGTGGAGCTGCCAAGGTGCTGGTCATGGAAGCCGCAGACAGCCCAGAGCCCAGCACCATCCCCCATAGTAGCAGCCCGATCAGAGTTCAGATATACTCCCAGCACCAGAGGCTGGGGAGCAGAATCCATCCCCAGGCAACAGAAGCACAGACCAGCAGCTGAGACCTGTCCCCAAAAACTACAGCAAAAGCTGAGCAGGAGTTGAGCCCCAGGGGGCAGCAGCACTCCACAGCCCCCAGCAGCAGGACCTGGGGCTCCACAGAGGCCTGTGCTGTCCAGTAGCTCACAAGAGCAGTGGGAAGCTGGAGCCCTAGAGGGAGTGGTACGATCCCGCAGCCCGCCCACGGGAACTGCACAGTTAGGGGGCACCAGAGAGGCCTGTGTGTCCCAGCAGGGACTGAGCGATCTAGTTACCCACGGGGCCTGCGGGGGCTGAGGCACCAGAGAGGCCTGTGCTGTCCAGCAGCCCATAGCACAGGCATAGAGCTGGGTCCCCAAAGGGACTGTGTGATTTAGTTATCCACGGGACCTGCAGGGTTTGGGGGCACCAGGAAGGCCTGTAAGACCCAGCTGCACACAAAATAGGCATAGAGGGTGTGAAAAATGGAGGCAGAGTGAATAGAAGCTACGCAGACAATCTCCCAGGACTAAACGGGAATTACAACTAAAATGAAGACAAATCCGCGGGAAAAAACCAACAGAAAAGCAGCAGGACGGGACCATATAACCAGGGACACTGGTAGGATCTGCGGAGGCACAAGAGGGTGGCGGGCTGGGAGCCCACGGAGAGCAGCCGTCTTAGCTGTGAGCAGCGCCCTTGGGGAATAAAGACCAAGCCTGCCCCACAGCGCAGAGAGCCGGAACGCTAAAATAGCCACAGCCACACACGTGGGGGCTACAGCAGAGGGAAGGCAGACTGGGCTGGACCTCTGTGGGGACACCTGGAATTTGGAGGGCACTCACAGTTTTTGCTGAGTTGTGGCCACAAAGGATGGTGGCCAGTGTGCTCCTTCCCATAGCTGTGGGGAAAAGCAGCAGCACCCCACCTCAGAGATTCAGCCTTTCCCAGGTGAGGCAAAGAAATAAAAATTGAGGCTCATTAATAACCAGCATCTATCCCACCCTCTGGAAATCCTCTTATGCAGAATACCAGGGCTACGTTCCAAGGCACTGAGTATGAGACTACTAGCCACCAGGAAAAAGCTAGAGGATAACTGAACCTTTCCTGGGTCTGCAAAGTAAGTCTAGACAGTGGTGTTTAAGGTGGGCCCACCCAGCCTCATTGAAACCCAGTAGAAGGAGCCACAAACAGCACAACACCAACACCCACAGGGAAAATTTGGCAGGCTCCAAAACCCACTGAGATAGCCAAAATGCTGAAACAAAAAAACAAATCCCAAATGAAAGAACAAGAGAACTCTATCGAAGATGAGATAAATGAAATGCAGCTAAGCAAATTATCAGAGGTAGAGTTCAGAGCCATGATTTTGAGGAAGCTCAACAGCATGAGTAAGGACATCAGCACCATGAATATAGATATAGAAACATTGAAAACCAACCAAGTGGAAATGAAGAATGACATAGCAGAAATTAAGAACACATTGGAAGGACTAACCAGCAGAGTAGAGGAAGGTGAGGACTGTATCAGTGAATTAGAAGACAGGGTAGAAAAAATCAACCAATCAGAAAACCAGAAGGAAAAAACAATTGAAAAGCAGAAAGTTCTTAAGAGAACTGTGGGAAAACTGGAAACGCAATAACATTTGCATCATAGGAATCCCCGAAGAGGAAGAAAATGGACAAGGCTTAGAGAATATATTTGAAGAAATAGTGACAGAAAACTTTCCTAACTTGGTGAAGGAAGAAGGCATTCAAGTTCAAGAAGCACAGAGAACCCCAAGTAAGAAGAACCCAAACAGACCCACACCAAGACACGTAGTAATTAAAATGGCAAAAATTAAAGACAAAAAGAGAATCCTAAAGGCAGCAAGAGATAAGCAACAGGTTACCTACAAAGGAAACCCCATAAGGCTCTCAGCTGACTTCTCAATAGAAACACTACAGGCCAGAAGGGAGTGGCATGAAGTAATCAAGGTCATGAAAAACAAGGATCTCAATCCAAGACTTCTCTACCCAGCAAGGCTATCATTCAAAATAGAAGGTCAGCCCTGGCCGGTTTTGCTCAGTGGTTAGAGCGCCAGCCTGAAGTCCAGAGAGACCCGGGTTCAGTTCCCGCTAAGGGCACATTCCTTGGTTGCAGTTTGTCCCCGGCCCTGGTTGGGTTGTGAGGGTGGCAACCACTCGATGTGTCCCTTTCACGTTGATGTTTCTCTCTCTCCCTCTCCCTCCCACTCTATCTGAACAAAAAATGGAAAAACGTCCTCAGATGAGGATTAAAAAACAAAAACAAACAAACAAAAAACAAAATAGAAGGTTAAAAAGAGTTTTCCAGACCAAAAAAAGGCTAAGATAAAATAGTAACACCAAACCAGCAATGCAAGATATGCTAAAAGGACTGCTGTAATTAGTAAAAGAAATAGGAAGAAAAATAAAGCCACACTAAACAAAAATGGCAATGAGCCCTGGCCAGTTTGGCTCAGCGGTTAGAGCGTCGGCCTGCAGTCCTGAGAGACCCGGGTTCGGTTCCCGCTAAGGGCACGTACCTCGGTTGCAGTTTGTCCCCGGCCCTGGTCGGTTGTGCGGGTGGCAGCCACTCGATGTGTCCCTTTCACATTGATGTTTCTCTCTCTCTCTCTGTTCCTCTCTCTCCCCCCCACTCTACCTGAACAAAAAATGGAAAAATGTCCTCGGGTGAGGATAAAAACAAAAAAAAGAAAAGAAAAATGGCAATGAATAAGTACATATCAATTATCACCTTAAATGTGAATGGTTTGACTGCTCCGATAAAAAGACTCAGAGTAGCTGACTGGATAAGATAGCATGACTCACATATACATATGTTGTTTACAAGAGACCCACCTCACAACAAAAGACTCACATAGGTTGAAAGTGAAGGGATGGGAAAAAATCTTTCAAGCAAATGGAAAGCAAAAAACAGCTGGGGTAGCAATACTCATATCTGATAAGATAGATTTCAAAATGAAGGCCATAACTAGAGACAAAGAAGGCCACTACATAATATTGAAAACATCTATCCAACAGGAAGATATAACCTTGGTAAACATATATGCACTCAATATAGGAGCACCAACATATATTAAAAATCTCTCAGAGGACTTCAAGGAGAAATCAACAGCAATACAATCATAGCAGAGGACTACAATACCCCACTGACATCACTGGATAGATCTTCTAGACAAAAAATTAACAAGGAAACACAGACTCTAAATGAAGCGCTAGATCAAATGAATTTAATAGATATCTACAGAGAATTACACCCCAAAACTGTAGAATTCACATTCTTCTCAAGTGCACACGGACATTCTCAAAGATAGACCACATGTTAGGACACAAGCTAAGTCTCTACAAGTTCAAGAAGACTGAAATCATATCAAGCATCTTCTCAGATCACAATAGCATGCAGCTAGAAATCAATTGCAACAAGAACATGCAAAGAAAGACATTTGAAAACATGGAGGCTAAATAGCATGTTATTGAACAATGAATGGGTTATCATGGAGAGCAAGGAAGAAATTAAAAACTTCCTGGAAATCAATGAAAATG